AGCCCGAGAGGCCCATCCACTTGGTTTGGCTTGCAGGTTTGTGTTCACACATGCAGCATTTGGACTCAAAGAGCGGGAGCGAAGGGGCGATATTCAGTGGCATTGTCCCTCAGTTTTTTTTTCTGGGAGTTTCTTTTACGCAAATATATGTAGACTCAGCCGTATGATTTCTAGGAGATCAGAGATTTCACGAAAAACATGCGCCAACAGGCTCATCAAAGAGTAGAGAGGTTCTTTGCCCTCTGGGGTCTGGTTGGCAGGGACTAGTGGAATTTTGACAGAGCGAAGATGGCTGGAGGAAAAATCGGTTCCGTAGGAAGGAAGGGGCCCGGTGCTCATGCACTAAATATTAACCGGGTAACTATGCAGATACGATGTCATGCTCGGGGCTAAGAAAGAGGCAACATGCCAGCCGGTTGGAGAGCTGGCATACCCATGGTCCTCAAGGTGGGCTTCTTGTATGTGTGGGTCCAAGAAGAGGTTTCATTCATTATTTGTTTTGAGCCTCTGAAGTGGAGCTCAGGTGGCCCCACAAGGGATTCTTGGTCAACTGAGCCGGCAGTTAAATGCAAAGGCCAATGGGTGCTGCTCAGGCTGCTGATGTTGGAGTGACCCACGCCCCTGCAGTGCTGGAGGTCTCCAGGGCTGCGTCAGGGGAGCCAGGAATGGAAACTGGGTCGGGTCCATGCTAGTCATGCATCCTTACCCTGTAATGCCTCCACACACTCTCCCATACAAGAAGGGGTCTATAGGGAAGGAGGACAGGGAAGTATGGGGGTTTCTTTCTTCTCCTTATTTTTATTTTTCTTCTTCTTCTTCTTCTTCTTCTTCTTCTTCTTCTTCTTCTTCTTCTTCTTCTTCTTCTTCTTCTTCTTCTTCTTCTCCTCCTCCTTCTTCTTCTCCTTCTCCTTCTTCTCCTACTTCTCTTCCTCCTCCTCCTCCTCCTCCTTCTCCTTTTTCTCTTCCTTTTCCTCCTCCTCCTCCTCCTCCTCCTCCTCCTCCTCCTTCTTCTTCTTCTTCTTCTTCTTCTTCTTCTTCTTCTTCTTCTTCTTCTTCTATCTCTTCTTCTTCTTTTTCTTCTCTTGCTGGAGCAATAGAACAGCAGGTAGGGTACTTGCTTTACATATGGTTAACCCAGGTTTCATCCTCAGCACCCTGAGCCCCATCAGAAAAGATCCTTGAGCACAGAGTCAGGAGTAAGTCCTGACCACAGTTGGATGTGGCCCAAAGACAAAATAGAGCAAAAGAAAAATGGATTGCAGACCAATGATGCCAGAATGCCAGAATAAACAGTGAATTCCCTGCAAGCTGGCTCCCCATGCATATTCCCTCTTGTCTGCAAAACCTTTAAAGAGGACCTACTTCCCATCCTCAGTTTCTTCCAGAAAGTCAAAGAAACAGAAATCATCCCTCACAGTTTCCATGAGCTCAATATTACCCTCACACCAAAAGCAGACGGAGCCATCACTTAAAAAGTGGGCAGGAGAGATAGTACAGTGGGTAGGGTGCTTGCCTTGTACACAGCCAACCGAGGTTCGGTCCCTGGCACCCTATAGAGTTCCCTGAGCGAACACTCCTCTAGGAGTGATTCCTGAGTGAGAACCAGGAGTAACCTCTGAGCACTATGGGGTGTGACCCCAAAACCAAAATAGCAAATGAAATCAAATTACAGACCAACATCCCTGATAAATACAGACACAGAGGTCTTCAGTCAAACTTTAGTGAGCCAAATTCAACAAGGCATGAAGAGGATCATGCCCCCAAAACTAAATAAGCAAGTAAAACAATTATACCCCCACAATTAAGTGGGATAAACCTGGGAGTGCAGGATGGCATAATACACACATGTCTATGAATGATGCAATACCACATTAGTACAAGGAAAGAGGAAAACCATGTAGTCAAATCAACAGATGCAGAGAGTACTTGACAAGATCCAACACCCATTTATTATAAAAACTCTCACAAATGTTGGAGGCGGGGGAAAGGAACACTCCTCAATGGAGTGAACATCACTTACCACAAACCCACAACTATGATATACTCGGTGATAAAAAAGCTGAAAATGTTTCCTCTAAGGCCAGGCAGGGATGCTCCCTCTTAGCATCATTGTCAATAGAGAATTGGAAGCACTTGAGACCAGAGAGATTATATAGCAGGAAGGGAACTTGCCTTACATACAGCTGAACTGGGCTCAACCCCTGGCATCCCACATGGTCCCCCAAGCCCAACCAGGAGAAATTTGTGAATGCAGAGGCAGGAGTAAGCCCAGTGCGGTTGGGTGTGGCCCCCAAACCAACAAATCAGAAAAATTATGGGAAACCCTTGCCACAGCTCTTAGGCAAGAAATCACAAAGGAATTCAAATAGAAAATGAAGTCAAATGCTCACTATTTGCAGATGACGTGACCCTAGAAATTCTACAAAAAAACCTCCCAGAAATCACAAATCTAAGAAGCAATGTGTCAGGCTACAAAATTCGTGAGCAGAAGTTCTAGGCATTTCTATAGCAAACAGTGAGGTTGAAGAGAGAGGAATCGATTGGATTGTAAATGGGATTTAAAAAAAAAACACACCCCCAAGTACCTGGGACTCAATTCAACAAACAAGGTGAAAGACTTATTGAAAGGAAACTATGAACCATTGTCAAAAGAAGAGAAGACACTAGGAAATGGAAAGATTTTCCTTTTTCATGAATTGCAAAAATTAGGATCATTAAAATGACTATTATATAGATTTAAAGTAATTTCCATCAAAATTCCCAGAACTTTTCCATTTTTTTGAGGTGGCCACACTCAGCAGTGCTCAGGGCTTACTCCTGGCTCTGTGCTCAGGAATCATTCCTGGCAAGGACTCAAGGGAAACTTATAGGGTTGGCCACGTGGTTAAAAAAAATGGCTTTGGGGCTGGAGCGAGAGTACAGTGGGTAGAGCGTTTGCCTTGCAAGCAGCCAACCCAGGTTCGATCCCCGGCATCCCATATGGTTCCCCAAGCACCGCCAGGAGTGATTCCTGAGTGCAGAGCCAGGGGTAACCCCTGAGTCTCGCCAGGTATGACTCCCCCCCCCCAAAAAAAAGGCTTTATTTTTTAAAGCACATCAAATCAAATAGTTCCTATGGAAGATTTGGAGGGACAGTGCAGGAATTAAGGTGCTGAATCAAGGCCCCGGGACTCCTGAGCATGCACTGGAGAGCCCCTGCTAAAAGTAATCTCAAGTAACATTTGTAAAATGACAAAATGTGGGTAAGAGAAGACAGAATAGCGGGTGCAGTGTTAAGGGGAGGGACAAGTCTGTGCAGGGCTACTAGGGATATTTTCACGATGCTACGATTGTCCTGTCCTGTTTCTTGGCCATGGGGGCCATTCGAATATGCACTGGTGATGAATGACAGGATCCACACATCACCGGTCAGGTGTGTGTGTGCCAGTTAAGGAAGAGGAACTATTAGGGGAAACAGGGCAGGTGATTTCTCTGCTCTTTTTGTCACTTCCTGTGAATCTGCCATTTATTTACTGCTTTATTTATTTTGTTTTGGGGGCCACACCCAGCAGTGCTCAGAGCTTACTCTTGACTCTGTGCTCAGGGATCACTCCTGGCAGTGGGATGCTGGGGATTGAACTCAGGTTGACTGTATGCAAGGCAAGCATCCTCCCTACTGTACTATCTCTTTGGTCTCATAATTATGTTTTTTAGTGGATTATTTTTTTTTGGTTTTGGGGATAAACCTGGTAGTGCTTATGGGCTATTTCTGGCCTGTGTTTGGGGCTCACTTCCAGCCAGAGCTTGGGGTACCAGGTGGTACCAGGGATCAAACCCAGGGTTCCCACGTGTAACGCGTATGCTCCAGTCCTTTGAGCCCTCTCTTCTGCCCCTTGGTTATTTATTTGTGTGTGTCAGGGGTGAGGACAGGTTTGAGTCACACCTGCTGCTGTTCTGGCTACGCAATTGCTAGTTTGGGGGGACCACACCTGGCAGTTCTCAGAGATAACTCCTGGTGGTATTCAAGGAGTCATGTGTGGTGCCGGGGATTAAACCAGGTTAGCCGCGTGCAAAGCAAATGTCACATCTGCCACACTGTCTCCCCAACCCTGCAATTTCTTTTCTTTTTTTTTCTCAGTTTATCTTTATTTGGGAGCCACAGTGGCAGTGATCAGGGCTGACTCCTGATGCTTGTGCTCAGGAGTCTCTCCTGGCCGGGTTCAGAGGACCATATGCGGTGTCAGAGATTGAACCCAACTCAACATCTTTTTTTTTTTTTTTTATTTTTTTGCTTTTTTGGGTCACATCCCGTGATGCACAGGGGTTACTCCTGGCTCTGCACTCAGGAGTTACTCCTGGCAGTGCTCAGGGGACCATATGGGATGCTGGGAATCGAACCCGGGTTGGCCGCGTGCAAGGCAAACGCCCTACCCGCTGTGCTATCTCTCTAGCCCCGCAATTCAACTTCTTGCAAGGCAACTCCAGCGTTCCACCTCTATGGCCCATTTGCAAATATTTCTAAAAACTTCTTAAGGCCCGCGAGCCAGGCAGGTTGATAACGCTTCTGCTAGTTCACTGAGACTGAGCCCCATGGGTTATGAGGATTGAACCTGAACTTCTCACATTCCACAACCACGCCTCTGGGAATAACGTCAAAACATTTTGTGGATATTTTATTATCTATGACAAGATCCTTGATTTTTGTTTTTGTTTTTGAGCTATACCCAGTGATGCTCAGGGCTTACTCCTGGCTCTGGACTCAGGGATCACTCCTGGCAAGCTTGGGTGGGACCTTTTGGAATGCCAAGGATCAAACCCAGGTCAGCAGCATGCAAGGCAAGCACCCTCCCCGCTGTCCTATCACTCTGGTCCAAGACAGTTTGTATTGACGATGAGTTCTGAGCAAATCCAATCTTTATGAAAAACAACAGTAACTTTATTTAAAGAAATGGGAAGTCACCCTCCCCCGCCCCACCCCCAGGAGGCTCAGGAAGCAATTCTCAGGGTGCCTGGCCGTGGACACAGTATCACAGCTGCTGCTGGCCCTTCAGGGAAGCGAGGTACGTCTGCACCCACGGTTTCTTCGGGTGCGCGCAGATCTTCCGGCCCCTCTTGGTGATGAATCTGGGATGGGGATGAGGAAGAGACCGTCATCACTGGCTGGCTTCTGCGGGGTTGGGGAGATGGAGCCAGCACAAGGGACTCTGGTTCGCTCATTGTGGTAGTGGCTCCAGCTGACTGCGGTCCTTCATCTCCTGCTAGCCCTGACCACGAGGATGTTCAGCACGGGGTACCCACAGGAAGTGAACAGAGTGGAGAAGGGGGCACACCGGCTTTTAAACACCACTGGGGGCTTAGGGAAGGGCCCGTTATAGCCGGGAAGGGGTGATGGGCCTGAGATCTTTCACCTGCTGGAATGTGGGTAGAAAGGAGGGACTGCCCCCAACTCCTCCACTGACCCTTGGGCCCCTCAACTCTCTCACTGTTAGGAAGTGTGTTTGGGGCCAGAGAGACAGGACAGTGCAGAGGGCGCTTGTCTTGCACACAGCGGACCCAGGTTCCATTTCTGACAGCACATAGGGTTACTTGATCCCACCAGAAGTGATCCCTGAATACCACCAGGCTGGACACTTTCTCAAAAAAAAAAAAAAAAGAAACCCCACAAACACTGTCCTCCCGTTGCTCATCGATTTTGCTCGAGTGGGCTCAGTAACATCTCCATTTTGAGACTTGTTACTGTGTTTGGCATATTGAATATGTCACGGGTAGCTTGCCAGGCTTTGCCGTGTGGGCGAGATACTCTCAGTAGCTTGCAGAGCTCTCTGAGAGCGGTGGAGGAATCGAACCTGGCTCGGTCGGGCTGACTGCACACAAGGCAAACGCCCTACTGCTGTGCTATCGCTCCAGCCCTCTCCAAAAAAAAAAAAAATTAGAAATTTACATTCTAGGTCCACACCCCACTCTGGACATATGCTCTGGGGCTTTTTTTTCCTTTTTGGGTCACACCCAGCGATGCTCAGGTGTTACTCCTGGCTCATGCACTCAGATATTACTCCTGGCGGTGCTCGGGGGAACATATGGGATGCTGGGAATCGAACCTGGGTTGGCCACGTGCAAGGGAAATGCCCTACCCGCTGTGCTATCACTCCAGCCCCTCTGGGGCTTCTTTTAATGAAACAGCTTCAAGACAGAGACAATGCAACCTTCTGGGGTGTGCAACTTGGTTTCAGGGGGGGTTTCAGAGATGGTGCAACCAAGACTATTCTCTCTCTTTCGGTGGCCACATCCATCGGTGCTCAGGGCTCACTCTGGCTTTGGGCTCAGGGATCACTCCTGCTGGGGCTTGGGGGACCCCATGGGGTGTGGGTTGGCCACATGTAAGGCCAGCACTTTTCCCCTGTCCTATCACTTGGGTCCCCATCTCTATTTTAGCACATTTACATCCTCCCCAAGGACCCTGTCACCATCTGCCACTATGGCCTGAGCCCATCAGCTTGCACAGTCCCTGTCCCCACAGCTCTGGGACTCTCCCCCTCCCCCACCATGGGAGCTCATTAAGGCAGGGGTCATGGTGTGGGTCATCTTGTGCACTCTGAGAACTCCCATCAGCAACTAGAACCCCTTGCCGGCTCCTTCAATTTTTTCGGGTTCTTGGGCTGGAAGAAGAGTTAAAAGACAGGGGGCAGGGAGAGGATGGAGCCAGAGGGAGTGAATTTCTTTTTTAAATTTTGTTGTTAGTTTTGTTGTTGTTGTTGTTTTGGCTACGCTTGGCTCTGTACTCAGGAATCACTCCTGATGCTTTTGGGAACCCTATGGGATGTTGACAATGGAACCCGGGTTGGCCACGTGCAAGGCAAGTGCCCTACCTGCTGTCCTATCGCTCTGGGCCCCCAGGAATGAATTTCGTCTATGGGACTCTCAGGGAGACCACGGGGCCTTTTCATTCAGCCAGGCCCTTCTGGAATTCCTGGCCCGAGCAGGAAGCTGGAGATCAGGAAGAACTCTGGATCGTGTGTGGCGTCTAAGTTTGTGGGGGTGGGGCGGTGCGGGGGTTAATGCATGACAGATCCCTACTGCTCACCCTTGATTCAGAGATCCTCACCCCAGGCCTCAGACTTTCCCTTTGTGAACGAGTCAGCCAGACTCCTCCAGGCCACACAGATCCTGCTAGTGACATGACTCAACTCCCCAAGTTCCAGGGCAGCTGAGGTCTGTCAAGCTCCTGAAAATGAACCCAGGGCAAAGAGGAGACCCGGGACCTTCTGAGTCAGGGGAACCTCCCCCCCACCCGCCATACCTGGGGACCCAGGATCTCTTTCCATCCTAACTGTCTCGTAGTGACAGTCAGCTTTGACCCTGAAACCCCCTTGCCCCCAGAGCAGTGTGAGCATCGCCCATATCTTTCACCGGAAAAACAGCTCCCTGAAGCCAGAGTGATAGTACCGTGGGTAGGGCATTTGCCTTGCACACAGTCAACCAAGGTTCGATCCCCAGCATCCCATAGAGTCCCCTGAGCACTGCCAGGAGTGACCCCTGAGCACAGAGTCAGGAGTCAGTCCTGAGCACCATTGGGGGTGGCTCAAAACAAAACAAAGCAAAAACAAAACAACAACAAGAAAAAGAAAACCAAGAGCCAGAGAAATAGTTCCAAGCGCCAGAGCACATGCTCTGCTCTGCTGGGGCCCCAGGTTCGATCCCCAGCATAGCCTGGTCCCCCAGATGGCCAGGACTGACCGTGACCCCTATATGCCGAGCTGACTGTAGCCCCCCAAGCACTGCTGAATTTGACCCAAACTCCCTCATCTTCCCCCCCCCCCCCCCACACACAAAATGTTAAGGCAAGAACAAAAGAAAATCAGCTCCCTTGTTCAAGACTGAGCGCAGGTGCGGAGCGCAATGCTCCACCCACTCACCTCCCCTTCTCCCTGCAGCTCCCCCTGCTGGAGAATCTGGGCACCGCCCCTTCACCCCAGCGGCTCCCACATCACCTCCAGGGTCCCTGGAGAGATTTTTCTCAGCACCAAGTTTGTTCTCTTGTGACTATGCTAAAGGATGGCAGAACACGCTGCCTCAGGGTATGCCACTTTGTAAAAAGATTCTTTTGTGCTAAAGACACTTATATAAAAAAAAAAGGCTGTTGGGGGGGAGGCTGGAGCGATAGCAGATCAGATAGGGGGCTTGCTATGCAAGTGGCTGACCTGGGTTTGATCCCCGGCATTCCACAGGGTCCCCCAGCCTGCCAGGAGTGATCCCTGAGCGCAGAGCCAGGAGTCAGCCTTGAGCACCACTGGGTGTGACCCTCAAAAAAAATCCCCAAGGCGCAAGAAGGGTGAGCTCACCTCACCTGGCTTTCTTTTGTGTGTGTGTGGGGGGTGGGGGGTATGTGTCAGGCCACACCTGGCGGTTCCCAGGGATGACTCCTGGTTCTGTGCTCAGGAATCACTCCTGGTGAGGTTTGGGGGATCACATGGTCAAACCTAGGCAGCCATATGCAAGGCAAGCGCCTTCCCTGCGGTGCTATCTCTCTAGCCTCTCACCTTGGCATTTCTTCTGAGACTAAGAGGTAAAACTCTCTTGGAACCAGAGAGATAATCAGCGGGGAAAGTTATTGCCTCGCAGGTGGCAGATCAGGTTCAATCCCCATATGGTCCTCCAATCCACCAGGAGTAAGCCCCGCGTACAGTCGGGTGTGGCCCAAAAAACAAACCAAAACTGGTTATGAAGAGATAGACAGCGGGGAGTCAGCCTTGAGCACCGCTGGGCGCTTGCCTTGCATATGGCTGCCTAGGTTTGACGTAGCTGACTCAGATTCGATCCTCAGCATCCCATAGGGTCCCTTGAGCAGTGCCAGGAGCCAGGAGACACCTGAGCATCGCCAGGGTGGCCCAAAAACCAAAACCAAATAAATGTTAGAAAGAGACTTCCACATAGAAAATGATCTCTTTGTAGCAGGAGGAAAGAAATAGGAATATTCTTTTTTTTTTTTTTGGCTTTTTGGGTCATATCCAGCGATGCACAGGGGTTACTCCTGGCTTTGCACTCAGGAATTACTCCTGGCGGTGCTCAGGGAACCATATGGTATGCTGGAAATTGAACCCGGGTCGGCCGCATGCAAGGCAAACACCCTACCCGAGGTGCTAGTTCCAGAAATACGAATATTTTTGGGGAACACCCGACTGCTTCTCAGGGTTTTTTCCCAGCTGGGTGCAGGGATGGGGGGGAACACTCCCAGCGGTGCCCAGGGGACTAGGCCCCCAGCAGACAAAGGCTGTGTTCAGCCCTTTGAGCCAGCTCCCAGTCCCAGAAGAGAGAGAGACGTGTTCTCACTGCCAGGACATTGCACAGTCCTGGCCAGGAGAAGGCCAGGCAGGAGGGTCCAAGTAGCTGGGATGACTTGGATCATTCTCTGAACCTCCCAAATTTTCTCACTTTTTTTCATAATAATCTCTTACTCAATCTAATATAAAACGCATGGAGCTTTGGCCATCATTTGGGGTCTCTCATTTCTCTGGGAAGGATCCTGTCCTATAGAGCAGAAATCAGAATGTTTCTTCTCCTTAATCTAGTTCTTGGCTCTGAATTGGGGGCCAAGGGTGACAATACACAGGGCTTACTCCTGGCTCAGTGCTCAGAGGTTGCTCCCCTGCAGTGCTCATGGGACCATGGGGTGCCGGGAATGGACTGTGCATGCGAAGGCTGTATTCCAGGCCTTTGAGTCCTCCTCCTGTCCCTGAGCCATTGCCTTTTAAAGTCCTGAGTTCTTTATTCTGACCCCTTGTTCTCTCTTTCATATCTGGCATTTATTTTGTTTTGGGGGTGGCCCAAAACAAAATTTATATTTATATAAAACAAGTTTGTTGGGGCTGGAGCGATAGCACAGCGGATAGGGCATTAGCCTTGCACGCGGCCGACCCGGGTTCGATTCCCAGCATTCTATATGGTCCCCTGAGCACCACCAGGGGTAATTCCTGAGTGCAGAGCCAGGAGTGACCCCTGTACATTGCCGGGTGTGACCCAAAAAGAAAACAAAAAAGTTTGTTTGCTTGCTGCAGGGAAGAGGGGCTGGGTCTCATTTGGTGATGTTCAAGACTTATTCATGGCTCAGTGCTCCCTCCTGGTGGTGCTCGGGGAACTATCTGTGATGCCAGGAACTGAAGCTGCCTGCAACTCAAGTGCCTTCCCTGCTGTGCTATCTCGCCAGCTCCATACCCTGAATTTAGCCTGGTGTGGGGTGGGGCTTGAGGGCATTAAAGCTCAGATCACACTTGTGAGCAGTAATGGTTGCGGGGAGGCTCTCCTGGCTGCATCCAATGAGACAGGAGACTAGGCACCAGGGCGAGGAATACTCACATGACCGCCTGCTGGGGGCAGCTGCTCTGCGTGAACTCGAACGCGTGGACCAGTTTCCTGGGGATGACCCTGTTGCTGAACTGGAAGCAGCAGAACTTGGCCACATCACTGCTCCCTAGGCAACGGGAGAAGATTAGCACTCAGGTCCCTCGGCTTCTGCCCTGGGAAGGGTGGGGGAGGGAGGGGACCGGTACGTACGAATGGTGACTCCCTGGTGGACACTGAGTAAGAAGGCCAGGAGGACTGGGAGGGCTGCGTGGACGCTGTTCATGTTGCTGCAGGCTGGGCTGGCCACGGCTTTCTCCCCACTCCTGTCTGAAGCCCCTGTTATAGGGCTGAGCGATCCCCTGAGGGCATTCCAGAGAACTCTGCGGTTTGGGAAGTGAGGGGGAGGGTGTGTCAGGGCAGAGGAGAGTCTCCAGCTGTGGCTGTTGTCTGATCTTTAAACATTTTAAAAGTTGTCTGATGGCTTGAAAAGCAAACTCAAAGGAAATGCAATGAGTAATTCCAGCAAAGTGACCTTGGTTTGCTTCATGATGCAATGGGTTACTCCAGAAGGATGGCTGGCCCCAGCTGTGGGTCTGAGCTCAGCTCACCAGGAGCTACTCCGGCAGGTCCCCTGCAAGCCAGGGTTCCTTCAGCGCCGGAGGGTGGCCCTGGGCCGGGTCCTTCCTAACTTAGTGCCGTGGGAGGGAGCTGTCTCTTCCTCTCTGGAGCTCCCAGACAAAAAAGCAAAAATGAAACAAGCCTGGGAGTGGGAGACACAGCATGGGGGTAGGGTACCTGCCTTGCTCTCAGAATTGCAAGTGAATGACCTGGGTTCAATCCCTGGCACCCCATATGGTCCTCCAAGCCCCACCAGGAGTAATCCCTGAACAGAGAGCCAGGAGTAAGCCCTCAGCACTGTGTTCACCTCTTCAAAAGAAACAGGCACATATGAAACAATTCGACAGGAATCCACGCACAGACCAGAAAAAGAAGACTATAAATCAGTGCTCAAAAACACAATACACGCCTCCTCCAGATGGAACCTCGGTGACCAGAAGCCTCTACAAGCATAGCTCAGTATGCGAGAACTAGGACTTTTCCTCCAAACTGCCGGGACCTTCCCGGCTCCCAGGTAACCTCTGACTCCGGAAGTCGTGCCCACAACCCGCCCCCCCAGCGCCATCTTTACAGCACACAGCCGCAGAGAAGAAAGGTCGCGTGGGGGGGGGGTTCCACAGCTACCGGAGAAGACACCAGGTCCCAAAAGGAGCCAAGATCACCGGGAAGTCCCAGATGGGGTAGGTGCCGCATCCCGCCTCCTCCAGATGGAACCCTGGTGACCAGAAGCCTCTACAAGCATAGCTCGGGTATGCGGGAACCAGGACTTTTCCTCCAAACCGCGCGGCTGCTTACACGGCCGCGCGACATCTCCGTTTATACAAAGTGATCAATGGAAAGTAAATCATCCAACGTTTCTCCCTGAAAATCAGGCTTAACTCTTATACAAAGCACAACACCCAATAGGAGAGAGAGGAAAAAAAGGGAATGCCCTGCCACAGAGACAGGGTAGGTTGGGGAGGGTGGGGGGTGGGAGGGATACTGGGATCCACGGTGGTGGGAAATGGTCGCTGGTGGAGGGATGGGTATTCAAAATAAATAAATAAAGTAAAAAACACACACACACAATACAGGGGCTGGAGCAATAGCACAGTGGATAGGGCATTTGCCTTGCATGCGGCCGACCCGGGTTTGATTCCCAGCATCCCATATGGTCCCCTGAGCACCGCCAGGGGTAATTCCTGAGTGCAGAGCCAGGAGTAACCCCTGTGCATTGCCGGGTGTGACCCAAAAAGCAAAAAAAAAAAAAAAAAAAACAAAACACAATACACACTGGCACACACACACACTCACACTCACACACATACATATAGGCACACTCACATGCATAGACACACACAGAGGAACACACACACTCACACACATACACTCACATATACAGAGAGACATGCACACAGACATACAGACACAAACACACACACACACACACACACACACACACACACACCAAAACAAAAATGATGAAAACAAAGGCGATGATGATTTATTCATCAATAATGATGAATGCCCAGGGGCTGGAGCGATAGCACAGCGGGTAGGGCGTTCGCCTTGCACGCGGCCAACATGGCCGACCCGAGTTCGATTCCTCTGCCCCTCTCGGAGAGCCCGGCAAGCTACCGAGAGTATTCAATATGCCAGACACAGTAACAACAAAGTCTCCAATGGAGACGTTACTGGGCCCGCTCGAGCAAATCGACGATCAATGATGAATGATGGTATGGACGATTCTCAAAAAATTAGAAATTGAGCTCCTATTTGACCCAGCAATACCACTCCTGGGAACATATCCCGGAGAGGCAAAAAAGTATAGTCGAAATGACATCTGCACCTCTATGTTCATTGCTGCACTGTTCACAATAGCCAAAATCTGGAAAAAACCTGAGTGCCCAAGAACAGATGACTGGTTAAAGAAACTTTGGTACATCTACACAATGGAGTACTATGCAGCTGTTAGAAAAGATGAAGTCATGAAATTTACATACAAGTGGTACTACATGGAAAGTATCATGCTAAGTGAAATGAGTCAGAAAGAGAGGGACAGACATAGAAAGATTGCATTTATCTGGGGAATATAAAGTAACAAAATAGAAGACTAACATCCAAGAAGAGTCAAGAAAAGTACCAGGAGGTTCACTCCATGGCTTGAAGGCCAGCCGCACATGCTAGGGGCAAAGGTAGCTCAGATAGTGAACAGAGCACCAAGTAAAGGGTGTTGGGAGGATCCTCCCAGGATGGGAGAAGTATGCTGAAAGTAGACTATAGACCAAAATGATTGCCACTCAATGGCTCTTTTGCAAACCTCATCACCCAAAAGGAGAGAGAGAACAAAGGGGAATGTCCTGCCACAGAGGCAGGGTGGGATGGGGGAGGGGGGATGGGAGGGGGAGGGATACTGGGATCAGTGGTGGTGGAGAATGGGCACTGGTGGAGGGATGGGTATGCGATCATTGTATAACTGAAACCCAAGCACAAAAATTTGTAAGTCTACAACTGTGCCTCATGGCGTTTCACTAATAATTTTTTTTTAAATTATTAGTGAAATAATAATGGAGCGATAGCACAGCGGTAGGGCGTTTGCCTTACAAGCAGCCAACATGGCCGACCCGAGTTCGATTCCTCCGCCCCTCTCGGAGAGCCCGGCAAGCTACCGAGAGTATTCGATATGCCAGACACAGTAACAACAAAGTCTCCAATGGAGACGTTACTGGGCCCGCTCGAGCAAATCGACGATCAATGGGAGGGCCTTTACCTTTTTAAATGATAGAAAATGAATAAGACATTTCTGAAAGGGGCTTGATTAGTCATGGGAAAACGCAAGCTGAAACCACACTGTGATACCGGACACAAAACCACCAAGATGGAAACAATGGAACAGACAGGAAGAGACAATGTTCTCAAGGATTTGGAACCCCAGAAACATGCCGGAGCGGTGGAGGTGCCAAGGCCTTGACTCAGCAGACCAACACTTCCACGGCAACCCAGCAATTCTGCTCCGGGACCTGAGCCCCTCAGAAAGGGACCTTGTGTTTACCCAAAATGCTCTCTGTGATAGCGTCAAACCAGAAATGACGCAAAAATCCTTTCACAGCAGAAGGAAAGCAAATATGGTGTATTTACCCCAGAAACCGCCACATGGTAAAGAGGAAATATAACTGTTCTGACCCAGGCTGCAGCATCTCAGGGATGGACAAGGAGGGAAAGAAGCCAGAGAGGAAAAAATAACACCGCAACCATCCACTCAGGTCAGGAGCAAGCCAGCTGGCCTATAGTGTCACATGTAGTGGAGGGCATAGTGACTTCCCTCCCTTCTGGGGCGGTGGCTGGACGGCAGGCCGGGACTCTGGGCTTCGTTCCTTGGTCCAGGTGCTGCAGCCTTTATTCCTGGGAAATATCTATTGAGTTGTATTCCTGGGAGGTGCGTCCTTCTCTGGGTGTTATATTCTGTAGAGGGGGAATGGCGTGGTGAGTTATACAAAACTTAACAGGAGCCAGATCGGTAATACAGCAGGTAGGGCGCTTGCTTTGCGTGCAGCCGGCCTGGGTTTGATTCCCGGCACCACATATGATCCCCAAATCCCCGCCAGGAGTGATCCTTGAGAACAGAGCCAGGAGTATGCCCTGAGCACCATCGCGTGTGTCCCCCAAACAAAACCAGAAAAAAAAAAAGCAAATAATTGTCTTAGGACATGTTTGTTCAGTCCCTCTTCCTCTTCCTTCCTCTCCCTCCCCTGGGTCTACACTGTCGGTGGCTTCCCAGCTGCCAGCCTCCAGCTTGTTTGCATGATTCCTGCTCTCTCCTTCCTGATTCTGCTGCTGTAACTCCTGGGATCTGGGGCACCCCTGGGACCCCAAACGGAGACATCCTCTTCGCTTATACAGTTAGACCTGCAAAGTCCCTATTTCCAGATAGGTCCCGTTCTGAGTTCCTGCTGGGTCTGAACTGTGGGTGGAGTGGGAGTGGGGGGGGAGAGTGGGGGGAAGTGGGGAAGGTTGACCTTCTTGCGGTCTGGGTCACCGTTCCATGGTGACAGGGGTCCCTGGTGCGTTCAGTGGCTGATAGACGTTCCACGAGTGATAGAAACAGGTTGCAGACCCATCACCAGACAATAATCAGCATCCTTTATTTCCAGTTCCACAGACCAGATACAGAGAGGGCAACGGCTAGAGCATGGGGGATGGTGGGAAACAATGGGAACTGGGAAAGGATACAGGGGAAGTGTAGCACAGAGGAGAGTCTAACACAGGATCGGAGCACTACTGAGTACCCCTGGGGCGTCCACGAGCCAAGCAAGCCCTGCAATGGGCGAGACTAGGGAACAGGGAACTCAGCAACTGACCAGGTAACCTCCCAGGAAGCCGACGGGCCTGAGCCAGGCCGAACTCCTCATAATAGAGGAGCAATAATCACAAATTAGGGTAGGCAGCGCTGTCCTTTGCCTCTGAGGCAACAATGTCTCCAATGCTCTCTCCCCTCAAGAACCCTCGGATGTATCAACAGGGCAGCAGGGCCATCGGGGGATGCAACAGCGCCCCATACAGTTGTGCTGTGCAACTCCCTGCCAGCCCCGAAGCTCACCTTCCCATTTCCTTTGGTGCTGCCTTCCAAGGATCGTTCCAGGTGTTGCTATTGTCCCTTGAGTCCGTGCTCTTCTTCAGGGATTAGTCCCTCAGAG